AAAGATAGCACGGGTTTGGGAAGTGGTTCGTCACATATGTGACGCGCAGGGGGTTCCAAAATTATGCGATCTCCTGATTGCATGTCATGGCGGAACAAAGTGATGCATGAGGAACCAAGCGTATCAAGAAACGATCCAGCCAAAGTCCATGTTGACGCCAACTTCAATTGCAATCGTATGATGCTAGAATCCTCGATGGTCGTCCAGGTGACGCCATCATCGTCCGCTGGTTCTCCGTGTGCTCTGTAACCCAGCTGGTTGCTGCCCGTCGAATCAGAGCGTGAGTTGACGTCATCGTCGATGGCGTGATCTTTGTGAAACTTACTGATTCGTGCCGTTTTCCCCCGCTGATTGGATGAAGAGAGGAGAGGGAGAGAAGGGGGGGGGGGTAGTGATGTGATCGAGATCTACCTCCTGGTTGGAATGGGCCAATGGAGGCGGTACATGGAGGGGATTTCTCGGGGTCGACGGGAAGGAAGTGGGGGTAGGAAGCGATTCATTCCTTCCATCGTCACCGGAAGCTCCTCATATCGGATGATCCGGTGGAAGTGGGGGAAGTGATCGCCGCTGCGAGGGAGGGAAGCAAGGTAGTTGCGATAGAAGGAGGAGAGGGTGCGGAAAAGCGCCGCTCGAAAGAACTCATAGTGGCAGCAGGCGGGGATTGTCCCCGTGGCAACGCAGTAAACCTCTACCACGTTGCATCGCTCTCATGCACCACTGAACAGCAGGAGATGCCAGCAGAACGTGGGGGCAACGGATTGAAGGGAGGCGTGGGGGTGGACGGTGGCGAGTAGGCGGGTAGAATAGAAGTCACGAAAGAGATGGGGAAGGAAGGGATGGGAAGGGAAGGTGACGGGGGTACGGATCTGCTTGAGGGTGAGGAAATCAAGGGGTCGGCGGGACAGCATCCGAGGACGAAGGCCTATCGCCCGCATCGGTACGTGGGCGAACTGGGGGACGGGTGGGGCTGGAGAAGGGGGATCGACTTCGTCTCCATCACGCGGTACTTGAGGTGGCGGCTGCAGGGTCGCCATCTTCGGGCTTCGGCGGCTCTGGATCCCTGGTCGGATCGTTACCGATGCGCAGGCTAGCTTTGCTGGCGAACTCCAGTTGGCGCGTCCCGGTGGCAATTTCTTCGCGCTTTCGCGCCACTTCCGGATTTTCCGCCTCCGTTCCTGTACGCGTCGCTTCCTCTGGCAAGGCTAGGTTCCTCCAAGCACGCAGTCCACTGAAGGTACGGATGCAATGATCGCTCGAAAATGTACGGAGCAGGACTGTCGTCACTCTGTGAATAGATGTCGGGCGAGAGATCGTCCACCAATTGCACGATCGGTGCGATGAGCTCCTGCACAATCAGCTGGCGGCGCCCCGACTGTACCGATCCAAAGAGAAAGCCAAGAAGATCGCCCTCCACGTTAGTCCTCCAAGCTTGGATGATTAGCAGCTCTGGATTTTCAATCCAGGCAGGATGCCCGCTGGTCTGTGTCCACGCCACCTGTACTCGGGCCAAGCAGAAAGTCAGCTCCTCAAAACTGTCGCGCCACAGCCGCCAATGTCCAGGATTGATTAGAGGGACTGAAAGAGGCTCGAACGAGAAGGAAAGATAAGGATGAAGATCGGATTGCCAGAAGGTGGGGAAGAGAGAGGGGAGACCAAAGATAGAGAGAGGAGCGACAAGATCGGCGTGGTTCATTGGGGATGTGGGAAGGGGACGAGGGTTGGGATCGCAATTGGCCGCTCGCGCGGTGATCGGCGAATATCGCCAAGATCCGATGCAAAGATCGGGATGAGGTTATACCCCTGTCGGGCGAGGACGTGCTGCCACACGTTGGACACTTGCTCCGTCCACTCGCGCAGCGAGGTCAAGATCGCGGTATGCCACTACGGATTGACCGAGCTGATGTCGCCGCTAAACGCCGCAACCGTGGTGACATGGCTCGTTCTGGGACCCGCTCGCCGATGAACTGCGGTTACCTCCGCGAATACTATTGCGTGAGGACTTCCTTCGATTCGAATTGTGGCGGCGGCACAGATACCTTCGTCGCAGAAGAATCGCATTAAACGCCGAAGATCCGCATTGAGCCGAGGGTGACAAACTTGCCGAATCTCTGAGATGTGGCCACGTGGCTGCAACAACTGTGTGTCAAGAACCCGCTCCGTGATAAAACTCATGGCGAGGTGGGACAGGAGGACGAAGGACAAGAGGGAGAAAGAGGAGAGAGAGTTAGATCGTCGTCGTTCTCCTCGCTTTCCGAGGAAGAAGAGGGAGGAAGATCAGAAGGAGGAAGAAGACGGAGGTAGGAAGTATGCCGGACGATGGGGATAGAGCTATGGCTGGCACTAGCCTCAGGCGCGATGCGCACCGTGTTGGCGCCGTTGGGTCCGAGTTCGACAACGCGAAAACAGCCAGAAAACTTGGGAGCGAGTTTCCGGTCGCGTGCACATTTACGTACCTGCACTAGGTCCCCTAATTTATATTGATGGTGGGGCCCAGCATTTCCATTCCGAGCCTCGTAGCTACGGACCTGTCTACCGTGGGCCAGTTCGGTCATCCTTTGCCTTTTTCGGGCTAGCTTGGGGACGGCCCGTTCCATTAATTCGGTGTACCTTTTGGCCTTGGCCTTGAGAGTTGCACGCGTGTCTCTACCCCCGGCTTCGACAATTTCCGAGTTACCCCGGTAGTCGACACAGGGGAGGCTATTAGTTCGAAGCTGAAAAGGGGTAAAGCCCATGGACTCGTGAGGGGTGGCCCGGTGGATCCCGACGATCTGATATACGATCTCGGGCCAAGGACGCGTGTCATGTGCCGCTAAGTTCCTGCGAAGGGCGGTTTTAATCATACGGTTGGCATTTTCGGCCAACCCGTTTGATTGGGACACGTGGGGTGCCGTATGTCGGAGCGTGACGCCCCTTCGCGCAAGCAGTTCTTCTACCTCACCCTTGAATTCGGACCCATTGTCGGTCAGAATTTCTTCCTTATCGAGATGGGTATAGAGGAACCATTCGATGTACGTGGCTATTTTTGTGGCTTTTCGGGTCTTACAGGGATAGATTTCGATGTACTTGGAAAAATGATCTATTAATACTAGCAGGATAGAATATTCACAACGGTTTGGGCCAGGTGGCACGTCGATATCTGTCGTGTCCATACTGACTCGCTGGAAAGGACGCTCTACTTCCATTGGTACGATCGTGTTTGGTCCCCGTATAGGGGCGCGATCAGCGGCACAGACCAGACAGTTAGCGACAATGTATTTGACATCATTTCGTATATTGGACCAGAACCATCGGTTCTGATCTACAGTTGCCTCCGTGACACGTATTGCGAAATGAGCGGCCTGTTCTTCGTGAGCAGATCGGATCCAATCATACCTCTGGAATGGATGGGGAACCGTCAACCACAAACCCGATCCGTCAGTTTTGCGTTTTCCCAAATGACCGTTGACCCATCGATAGTCCCGAGATCTCTCGGTCGCCCTACGTCTGTCGTGTTTGGTGAGGTGGCCTAGTGATAATCCCGCTAATTTTGCCAATAAAATTTTATCCGTCCAAACCTCCGCTCGTCGGTATTTTTCGTCATATTCAGGGCCGTCCGTACGGGCGGCCTCGAATCGAACCTCCGTGTGGAGTTTGTTCGTTCTACACAGGGGGCACCTCCATTCCTTGCTATTCGTTCGATATCGAACGCAGGCCCCGTGCGCACGATTGACACACGTGGCACATTCTACCCAGTCGACGAACCCGGTTTCGAAGGGATGACAGTCGACCCTGTAGACCCGTGCAATGCACGTGCAAAAATAACAGAATTTATCGGGGAGGGTGGCAAAGAAAGTTGAGGACGTGAGAGGGGCAGAATTAGTAGGAGATGAAGGGGTTGCGGAGGCAAGTGGGGTAGTCATGATAACAGAGAAGGAAGGGATGCAGAGAGGGTAGAACAGACCAATTAGTCCTCGTGTCACTTACTGCTTCGATAAGATCTCCACTTGGCCGTACCGAGGTCCGATCTCCTGTTCGGGTTCGTTCCACGGAATCACCTCCTCACTTTTCGGAACTTTCTCGGGCCGGTGCAGTCGTGTCAGTCCGTCCGCATTCCCGTGCCTCTCGTGTTTCCGATGACGAATGTCAAAGTCCATGCTCTGCAACACCGTTGCCCATCGCCCGATCATGCCAGAGTAATCCTTCAATTTCTTCAGAGCCAACAAGGGCTCATGGTCAGTTACCAAGGTGAACTTTCGCCCGTACAGGTAAGCGCGAAAGTGGCTGATTCCCCAAAGAGCCGTGTAGCATTCCCCCGCCGGAGCGGCGTAGTTGCGCTTGCAAGCTGGTACCGATTTGGAGGCATACTCCACCACACTCTCGAGTCCGCTTGGTCCCACCTGGGCAAGGATTGCCGAAATTGCCTTTGGCTGCCAGTCAGTGATGAAAACAAAAGGCCTTTCGGGATCCGGTTTTATAAGGACTGAAGCCGAAATGAGAGCGGCCTTGAGTTTGGAGAACTCTTGATCGCACTCCGGCATCCAGATCAACGGCTGATCTTTGCGTAGCAAATTCGTGAGGGGTCCCGCAATCGCCGCGAAGCCCTTGATAAATCTTTGGTAGTACGAGGCCAGGCCCAGAAAGGCGCGAACTTGCGTGATAGTTGTAGGTACCGGCGCGTCTCTGACAGCTGCCACCTTCTGTGGCACCGGCTGGAGTCCCTTGTTTGTCACCACGTGCCCTAGGAAGGAAATGGTGGTGAGGAAAAACTGACACTTCTCAAGCGCCACCTTGAAGCCCGCATCTCGTAACGCGTGCAGTGCCCATTCGATGTGCTGCACGTGTCCCTCGTAGGAACTCGAATACACCAAGATATCATCCATGTACACAATCACGCAGTAGTTGATGATGCTCTGTGCCAAACGAGTCTTTCTCACGAAATTATGAAAAGCCATGTTCATGGCCCGCTGAAAGGTCGCGGGGGCGTTGCAGATACCCATTGGACATCGAATCCACTGCCACGTGCCCTCGAAAAGTACAAACGCTGTTTTCGACCGATCTTCTTCTCGAACAAGAAGATGATGGAACTCATGGCGAACATCAAACTTGTTGAAAAATCGAGCACTCCCAATCGCATCCAACAACTCATCAATCCGGGGGAGGGGGTACACATCTTTGATCGTGATATCATTCAACTTTCGATAATCAATGGAAATGCGGATCCCTCCGGCCTTTTTAGGCACGATTACTACGGGAAAAGACCAGGGACCTATGGCGGGTTCGATCCATCCATTAGCTTCAAATTCTTTAATCCGCTGAAAAGCGGCTGCTCTTTGAGCTGGCGAGTATCAGTAAGGAACGCAGCTAATGGGTGGATGGTCTCCCGTGAGAATGGCATGCTCGATCACATTAGTTAAGCCGATGTCATTATCGTGTATGCTCAATACTTCTGCGTAACCATTTAACACACAGATTAATGACTTTCGAAGTTCCGCGGGACCGTGACTCGGTAGGGTAATTGTTGATTCCCCGAAAATCTTAAGGGGCATATCGACCCAATCAACCGGCCGTTTTCGTCGATCATAGACACTAGAGAAAACGGAACTACTGGTGCGAACAGAGAAGACAGTTGCTATCATCTGGGACTCGGCGGGGCTGATCATCTCCGTTTCTTTAGTTTCAGCATCAATCTCTGAACCAACCGAGGTCGGTTCCACAGTTGGCCCCGTTAGATCCGTCATTTCCTGCATCAGATCAGGTACATCACTTACCGGCGCTTCCGTCTCTTGTTTAATCAAAGCGATGGTGGCTCCTGTCGTTAGTAACGTTCTGGGCGGAAAAACAGAAACATCCAAATATTGTTCCGTTTGCTGATAACGCGTTCG